CACCCAGGCAGGTGGTTTGCAAAGTATGAACGATTACTTACCAACGACGTTATAGGGTCAAAGGACCGTCTCAAGGTCGTCGTTCAAGACGTTCGCGTCGATAACCTTGTTAGGTGCCTCAGTATTGCCATTACAAAACTGAGAACGTAAGTTTATGATTTCATTTTAATTTATGATCTGTTTTTACTTTAATTAGATAAGCCTAGTTATTATACATAATTAAAGCTTTAGATAATAAATACTAAATAGGCAATTATCACATAAAAATAAAACATTCTTAATTAATGGTTAATTTGGTATTTCAAGATCAATTATTGTTTACCCAACATGTAGATATTAATAAATTCTAAAAATTGGTGATTTGTCTAACTCTATATCACAAATAAAGAATAATTGTTGTTCTTTAAATATTATAAATCAAATCTTATCATAATTTTCTTATTTGTAATTAATAATAATAGCCTGCCTGAGGTTTCGTTAATTTCAATTAAATAGAGAACATAGAGCTCGGTGTCAACCTGTTAATCTCATATTCGAATATACTGGCAGAAAGTAAAATTCATAAAACTTTTTGGTGTGGCTTGTTATAGCCGTTAACCACAGACATTACAACTGTCTGTGCCGTTAACCCATCCTTGAGGTACCTAATACCTATACATCTATTCAAATATACCTAGTATAATTTTACACCAAGGCTCATTTATTTTTATTAATTTTAGTACATAATATTTACATATTATATAATTTTTTGATTTACTATGTTAAGAATTACATATTATGTTTACATAATCATTAATCATACTGTAAAAGCAAATAAAACAATGTTTCATACAGCTTTACACGTGCCTAGATTATTATTATTTAACAGTAGGTAACATAATATAAGCATGTAAAATAATACTATATTATGCAAGTGAAATGATTGTTGTCACTATGCAATAAAACTTTAGCTATTAATGTTTTTTAATTGTCCATCTATCGACGTAAAAATGATGTAAGTACCTATAAAGTGTTTACAAAAACGCACGGTCCCTTTTACAATTTATAATGTCGGTATGTATGTATATCTAAATGTACATGCAAGATATTTACTATTACCGAAAGCAACTGGCCACCTGTTTATAAAACACCTGCCAGTCAATAAGACTGCATCCAAAAATAAAAATTTATTTAAACACAACCCGCGGCTTCGCTCGCGCTAAAACTACAAAAAAACCTCTAAAAAGGTTGGCCTTCATACAAACTTTCATTGCCTATTTTACCCATATAGGATTAATTTCGAAAAATGATAAAACACGTATTTATTTAATTTTATTTTTTTGGATTGTCTTATAAGGTGTTTTCACGTGGGAATTAGATAATCTCCCGCGGTAAAAACCTAAGTATAAGTTAATGGCTTTCGCATATTCTGTAACAAATATTTGAATGATAATAATTCATTATATCTGTTTTATAGGTATATGCGGGCCATACTCAACCTTTTTTTTATAGGAGCCACAAACACGTTTCAGTCATGGTGTCGAGGGCCGCAAGCAAAAATTATTTAGGTCTTAATGAAAACGTAATTCCAAGTTAACGATGTAGTTACTTTTTTAACAAAGATATGTTATAATGCGATTTTGATGCTGCCGCATGCGGCCCGCGGGCCGTAGGTTGAGTATAGCTGATTTAAAGGGTCTATTCACTATTGTTTACTACCAAAAGGCGTCATGTGGCGTTATTATTGGCGCTACAATTTTATAACCTATATTATCAGTCAGTTCAAGATACGAATTACGTGCCAATCGTATTTATCGTCATATTCTATATCTAATCTAAACTGAATCAACAATTACTAACATGAACTATTTAATTGAGATATTATTACTACATCAGTTCTTTATCTTGATGAAAAGTTTTAAACCTTCAATTAATAAAAATTAACTAAAAATCAGATAAACCGGAACCGCCTAAGCATAAAAATGAAACACCTTTAAAATCGTAATCATAAACGCATGTGTCCGATATTATATGTAGATAACAAAATTCACCATAAATAGTCGTGCAATTAGTTATTATAAATGAAAAATGACGAAACTCAAGTTATAATTAATGGATTTGAATTATTTTTTTCTTTTTTGGGTTTTTAATACCATAAACTAAAAACCCCTTTACCCATTTAAAATTATTGCTGTATTGAAAATCCGTGAATTAAAAAAAAACAGAAATCTCCAAAAAAAATACAAATATCGGAATTCTTAAAGATTTATTTTAAGAAAATAATAACTGTTATAGTTTTTGAGGTTGTTTATAGGTACATACAAGATTTTTTAAATAATTTTTTTTATAATTAACAAGGTCGACTTTAGAAATTTATTTGGCTAAAGCTTAAGAGATATATCAAAACCATGTACTAGAAAATTGTAGGTCTTAAAAAGACTTACAAGAAAATCCACAATTATATCTATCTCGGGTCTCCTAAGGTCACTCGCACTTCCTACTTTTTATCTATTTAAAGGTATTTGTACAATAAAACAGTGACTTCGCGAAATTGATGTGCGCGTTTCACGCAAAAAGTACTGAACTGATTTTAACTAAATTTTGTGTAGTGACAACTTATTACTCGGGTCAAAAATTTAAGATAACTTTCATTCCCACGGGAAAACACAATAACTGGTTCTATCGAGTCGTTCTTAGAAATTTAGATCTACATCAAAACAAACTATTCATATCTATAACGTACCTAATCAAAGCGATGGTAAGTCACTTATATAGAAACAGTTATTTGCGAAAGAAAAGATAAATATATGTAGCTGTAAAAGGAATGTACTCTACTAGAAGTAGCATCATTTTCATGGGGCAATCCTGAAAAAACATTAGCGGAATTCAAAAGTGAACTTTTTAGTTTTTAGTATGTACATAAGAAATTCAAAAAAATCGAAAATCAGCCAAATCCATTCATTATAGCTGGGCTCCGAGCCTGAGGTAAAAACCTACTTGCACTCGACTAATACTTCGATATACATTAATATCTCGTTATTAAAATAAACAAAAAATTATCGCAGCTTGCACTGTTTATTCTTTTTGATTATTTTACCACATAAAGTAGGGCCAGGTGGAGAGTTCATTGCACGATGCAGCTTTTATTTTGTTTTTGAAAGAAGGCTTCTTTCGAACTTAGGGGTTTGTGAGCTGTCTCAGAAGGGCAAAAAATTGTCTACCCACCTGGCTTTCTTGTATGCTCCGGTGAGTAGGTAATGAACCCAAATAAAATATTGCCTTTATTTGAGTATTTCTAGATTAAATGATCTAAGACTCTTCTTCTTCGTCGTGTACTTCATTGCTGAAGGTCGTGCTTGTCCTGGAATGTTTGCACCGATTTGTTGACTATCTTTCTCCACACCACTCTATCCTCGGCTTGTCTCAGGGCAGTCGGAATATTGAGTCCCGTTATATTTGAAATCTGGTCGGACCAGCGGGTAGGTGCTCGACCGCGTGATCTTTTGCCCTCAATCTTCCCTACTACAACCAGTTTATCCAGATTGTCTGGTTGTCTCCGGGCGATGTGACCAAAGTAACTTAGGACTCGTTGGTAGCATATAGTGGATAGTCTGGCAGTAATCTTCAGTTGGTCGAGAATAGACCTGTTGGTTCTTTTTGCTGTCCACGGTATACGCAACATTCTTCTGTAACACCACATTTCAAAAGTCTCGATCTTCTTTCGGTCAGCTGCACGGATTGACCATGATTCGGAACCGTACAGAAATATGGAGAACACCAAAGCTCGCACGAGTCTGGTCTTGGTGGTATTCGACACTTTCCTGTTTTGCCAGATTCTGGTTAACTTACTCATAGCTGCCTTGGCCATCTGCGTACGTCTCCAAATTTCTTTGCCACAGCCTCCCTGATTGCTTATAAGTGATCCCAGGTACACAAACTCATCTACAAATTCCAGGTCCGCCAGTTCTCCGGTTCGTGCAAAAGTTCCAGCTCGATCTACTACCATGATTTTCGTTTTTTTCTTATTAATGGAAAGACCGACCATCTCACTTGCACGCTCGACTCTTCTAAGTAGTTCAGCCATTTCCTGTTCTGAAGAAGCCAATAGCGTAGTGTCATCGGCGTATCGGAGGTTACTGATCTTGTTGCCTCCAACGGAAATGCCTCCATCCCACTCATCTAGCGCTGTCCTTATGATATACTCGCCGTAGATGTTAAAAAGAAGAGGGGATATGATGCATCCCTGTCGTACTCCTTTTTGTGGTTTGAAAGGAGCGGATACCACGTCGTTCACTTTTACCATTGACTTCCCATTCTCATATAGGTTTGCGAGCAGTGCTATTAAATGCTTAGGAAACACCCATTTCTAGGAGGATTCTCCATAGACAATCCCACCTCACGCAATCAAACGCCTTGGAGTAATCAACAAAACACATAATTATCGGAACATTAAATTCCCGGCTCTTCTCTATGAGTTGTCTAATGTTGACAATTTGCTCCCGAGTTCCACGGCCCTTGACAAAGCCAGCCTGCTCATTAGGTATTTGCCGCTGTAGGTAGGGTTGTAAGCGTCCATTAATTATGTGAAGCATGATCTTACTACCATGTGATATGAGGCCACTGTTCGATAGTTTTCGCAAATCTTTGTCGAGCCTTTCTTGTGCAGTGGTATCAAAAGTGACTCCGTCCAGTCCTTGGGCCATTTTCCCCGAGCTCCAGATCTGATTACACAGGTCCTTAAAGATCTTGACACCTGTGTCTCCTAAGTTTTTTCAGTTCTTCAGCGAATATACTGTCTCTTCCGGCTGATTTATTTGTTTTAATTTTTCTAAGAGCTTCCCTGACTTCAGATTCCAGTATTTCAGGCTCTAGGTTTTCGTCCCATGCTGAATGGTTCAGAGGATCCCCTGTCGTCCTTGTACAGGCTTTGGCAATATGACCGCCATCTTTTCTGTAACCTGGTCAATCTCCGTCAGTAGTGTACCCTTACTATCTTGGATCGCCCAAGTTTTTTGGGTCTAAACTCTCGTGTGATGCTTTTCACTCGTAGAAACAGGGTCTTTGGTGTGCAGAGTCCTAGCATGGTCCTCAATATCTTCACATATCGAGTTCAGATATTGGTTTGTAGTCTCTACGGCATAAGCATTGAACCCGCGCTGATATGGTGTTATACTGAGCTTTCTCAGAGTCCCCTTCTGGTTAGGAGGTCTTTTCTTTTCATTAATCGCCTTCCACGTTTCTTCTGATATCCACGCCTTTCTTGAACTACAATAGTTTTGCTGTTGGATGTCTTTTCGTGTGTCGAGAATAATGTCCTTTATTGTAGTCCACTTTCATATCTATGTCGATGCTGTTATCTGACTTTAGGTGTGTGACTTTTGTTGTTAAAGACTTCTTCATAGGTGTTAAGTGTTTCTGGAGAAGGTCGACCATGATTTTTGACTAGGCTTCTCACGCATTTCTTGAGCTTTACTTTCATGACTGCCACCAATAATTTGTGATCGCTTCCGCAGTCAGCTCCGGGGTACGTTTTTGTATTAATTATACTGGACCTCCATCGCTTTGCAATAGCAATATAGTCAATTTGGTTTCTGGCACGCTCACCTGGCATAGCCCAAGTATATAGCCGTCGTGGGTGTTCTGGAAACAAGTATTCATGATAGACAGAGAGTTTTCCGCGCAAAATTGGAGCCACATCTCACCTCTATCATTTCTATCTCCGAGACCATATTTCCCAACAACTTCTCTTAGATGATCTTCCTGTCTTGTTGATCCTACTTTTGCATTAAGATCTCCCATCAAAAGTGTAATCTCCCTTCTGGGTAGGTTCCTAAGGGTGTCCTCCAACATTCTGTAGAAGTCCTGAATCTCTTCTTCTGTTGAACCCGATGTTGGGGCATATACAACCACCAGATTTAGACGACATGGTTTTGTGTTAACTTTCATGGTGATTATCCGATCACTCACTGGGTGGTATCCCAGCACAGATTGATTGATGTAAGGTGATACACAAATAGCAACTCCATTTCTGCTTTCATTTTCCGGGCCTGAAAAATATAGAGTGTGGCCTGACGGGATAGTGTAAAAAGCCTGACCCTCTCTTGTGTGTTTCAGTTATTCCAAGAACTTCCAGTTGGTAGTGCAGTTGTTCTTTACCTATAATATCCACTTTCCCTGGTTCCAGTATACCTCTGACATTCCATGTCCCAATCCTAATCTTCTTGCGAAGTTGAGGGTGTTTAGCTATGGTTGGTGTGAATTGAGACGATGTGTTGATGTCACCAGTAGCATGCTTTACACACTGAGCCTGATGAGTCACTTCAGTGGAACCAGTAGCATACTTCACACCATGCGACCTGGAATCGACATGGCGCCGGGTGGTAGCCGGATCGCATGCCATCGTCCTCTCAGTATCAAACATATTTCATGACAAGTTTCGTGGGAGAATAGTGCAGTGGTTTCCCCTTGCCTTCTGCACCGCAGTGATGTTATGTTTTTATCAGGAACGCCCTGCTGCCAGCGCCCTTCATCCAGACTGAGTGATCTATTGGGTCCGGACCCCCTGTCTCCCAGCTGCTTGTCGACCTATATCTCCATAGGGGTTGGTTACCGCTATCTCGATGATAGGTTGCTCGACGTAACAGGGTTCGCCGCGAGTAGGCTGGGAGTGGAGTTGGTGAAGAGAGGCTAAGTGACTGCTCTTGAACACAGGTCATGTATTGCGCATCATCCACCCTTGAACCCCAATCTAAGACTACATGTTAGTTATTAAATAATCGTGATGATAATAAAGGATGGTTTTACCTTGGTTTTCTCACTAGATACTTATTCTATATAACAAACTTATGCCTTTTGCTTTAATGACAAAATGAATTTAAAACGGTAACATGGTTCGAGAAAAAGAAATTTTAGGTATTTTATATTAGGTGTATATTATAATTTGGTTTTAAAAAGATCATTTGATGTTTATCAAGCATTATACAAAAGGCATGTTTATAACTAGAATTTTATAAGGTACTTCAAATATACATTTCTCTTTTTCATTAAATTCATAGGAAGTGCAGCCTGCAGATGTGACCAACATGCGCAACGGTACGCGTGCCGACAACAGCAGCTGTGGAACACTTTTTATTCTTATTTATCTTAACCTTACCTGAATAAAATCGTGTCAGTATTTTTTACTTAAATCGTCTTGATATATTGTTATTAATCTTACAACTATAAATGTGCAGTGAAAAAGAAACCTATGTATATTTATCTAATCGTCCATAATAATAGTAAATCGGTAAAATAAGTGCAGTACATTTCATATTAGGAACTACAAGTTAAAATATTTTGATTTGATCATGGAAAAGTCAAGTTTGAGAATAGATTTGTTCTTAAATAACATTTGAAATAATGACAATTTAATGTTGTTTTTCTCTAAGCATCGTGTATCTGTTACCTGCTATATATGTACACTAGCGGACCCGACAGACGTTGTCCTGTCTACACGTCTTTAATTTGAAAATTTCAAACTTTATTTAATATTTTTTGATGAAAATTATTATTCAAATTGTGAATCTAAACCATTCCCAGATCCCCTTGAACACACACAAAAAATTTCATCAAAATCGGTCCAGTCGTTTGAGAGAAGTTCAGTGACATACACACTCACAGAAGAATTATATATATAAAGATGTATAGCTTTCTTAATCAGCTAAGCGTCAGTTTCCTAGAATTTATGGCGGCTTCATATTTAGCAATATTGTTTTAATACATATTTATCCTTTGCACAAAGTAAAAGTTACAATGCTAAATATTTAACGATCAGTTTACTTATCAAAACTTGTACGTGTACCTACTACGTATTAACATAATAAGTAATAACTGTATTATTAATATAAATATGTTTTTGCATTTTATGGCTTCCGTTCTCACTGCAAATCTTGATATTATTGATTTTGTTCCCGTTCGCTCATATTCGACCCTCTCCACCCCTGTCCCCTGCCCTCACCCCCTATTGCCATCACACGCTGCGTCAGTACGCTGTACGATCCAACGCCCGCCCTAAATTTTCAAAACATAGTCACGTGGATGTGATGACGTATGACATAAGTAACATAGTGACGAAATATTGTTAGATTTAAGTTATAACAAGAGATTTGAATTGAAATTTAAGTTAGGTATTAATAATAACAAAAAAATAATAGCGCTGCGTTTAAACTTTCACTTATAAATAGCTGAATTTTAAATCATGAAATCTATATTTAACTTGTTTATGGAATATGTGTAATGAATATATAAACATTAAATCAAGTCTAAAGATAACTAACAGAAAAAGCACATGACGGCGTATGAGCTATGCATATTATGCAGTATGCACTATGCACCGTGGCCGTGCTTAGCGTTCTTACGACACGAGGCAGTTTCGAGGGGGGCGATGGCGGAGGCGGCGGCGGAAGAGGGGCGCGGCAAGGGGGAGCTCCACTCTACACTGGAACAAACGCCGCCGTACGTACCGCGACCGCGCGATTATTTCGTCTACCGAGCGGAGGACGTAGTCAATGCCTCGCCTGCATCAAGCGCCGTGTTTGTTGTACTACTTTAGTCTGCAACGCGCTGTCGAATCGTTCGGTCGTGTTCACGCGCGCTCAACTGAATAGGCGATTAATATTTATTATAATATAACAATTATATTTATAGACAAAATTTTGTTGCATTCCTTAGTAAAATTTATTATTTTACATATTCTGCGTAAGTTAAGTGTCTCAAACGTTGTGTTAACCAAATTTAGATTAAGCTTCATGAACTGTGATCGTGTTTTGGACAATTTTGAACATTTGTAAAACAGTGAGATACAACTTATGCGAAGTTTAGAAATGAGCGGATTGACCATAAGAGTTAAAAGGGGATCGAGGGGTAGTGCAACACTTCTCGAGGCAGCTAACAGAATTCTTAAACTTCTTGGCGTCAGTTCTACGAAGCGCGGGAAACAGCCCTCATCAAAAGCAAAGGTAATGCCAATGGAATCATTCACCACATTATTATACAATTTGTTACATCGGAAAAGCATTTTTAACTACGAAAAAATTCTGAATTTCTTTAAATTAAGGATATCAATCTAATCAATCAATAAGTATAATTTGAATACAATTTATTATGAAAATTTCAATGAATAAAATATACTTATTATGATTACTTAATTAATATTTAGCTACTATCAATTTTAGGAGAATTTAGTGTTAATACTTCAGGTGTATTTAATTCGTTGTTGGCAATTTTTACATACCTATGTTTCCTGTTTATCAAACACAAGACATTTAATAGGTTACAACGACGTGGCAGGTTTGTAGCGAAAGATTGTTGATAAACTTTCGCTGCATAGACTGCACTTTCGCTCGATATATTTCTATTAGAAACGTGCTGTAAGCGACACTGCTCGACGCGACAAGCGCGCCGCGTATGATCGGTATGATGCAAACATTGATGACGGGCGCGGCACTGACACGACACTTGTTTGTTCACGCGTAGTCTGCGTGACCATCTTGTTTACCACTACAAACGATTCACGATTCGCATTCATCACAGTTTGTAGCGAGTGCGACCCACTATAAAAGTAACGTTAATATTTTCGCAAGTTTCTACATCGCTCGGTACTTACTATATAAATATTTACATGAAGTGAAACACCTCTTATCAATATTTATTGGAAATGTATCCTTCTGTTTACAAATAAGTTTCTGTAATGTTATGAAATGTAAGTTACTAGCACCATTACCATATTTAATACACCTGGATAAAAAGAACTCCTTGGCCAATAAACTAGGACAAACAAACAAATAAACTATGACACTCATATATTTTATACCAATTACATCCTTTGTATCAGTCGACATTTATTCTATACAATACAATATTTTTAAGGGACATTTTGGTTGATTGTGTAAGATCTCTTTGTCACTTAATCATCTGACATAATATGTTTTCTATTTACATTAAATTCATTTATAATTTCTGTAAGGTAATATAAACAATATAAATAAAAATGAGCGATAAAAGATAAATTAAAAAAAAACCGGATACAAGCTATCGTTAACGAAAGTATTGATTATGATATTATGGTCAAAACACGCTGTTTAATGTACAATTCAATGGTAATCTATCCATAATAAAAATCGGGTCACTTAAGCAATATTGTTGTTTTTGTTTAAAATTCGATATTCAAAACATGTCGCTCATATATAGTAATTATACATTTACTGTTTGTGTATGTACATAATATGAAGATAGCATTTGTTTTTATACCAGTCATTCATTGACTGCGTGTTAGTGATGTCTTCAATAAGTGGGTAATTTTTGCGTTTTAGATAAAAGTAGGATATTCGAATTCATCAATCAACAACAAAATTGGACATTCCACCCACATTGATTATGTATTATAATTAAAAAAATGTATTTTTACTATAAAGCTTACTTTCAAAAGACAATCTTATTACCCACGCGTGAACAGCATGTGGCATGTGAAAGAGAGAATTGGTTGATGAATGTGTTCGTAGGTGCGGTCATCGACGTAGAGGGTCTCGGTAGTGGGGATCGAGGTCGAGTACGGAGTAGGTGCGCGCGGGCCGCGGTATGCGTTGCGACTTGCGGTGGGAATGCGCTCGGAGTACCGTTGCGGCGGAATGCGAGACCCACTTGCGGTCTACACGGAGTGGACCAACTTCACTTATTTCAGTGACTCATGCGCTACATAGAGTCGATTCGCTGTTAAACTCTCAGTCATCACCGAAGTTATTGTATAGACAATGAATGTTCTAATGAGGCCATGAGAATTGCGGAAAACATCCTTGTTTAACAAATCAAACAAAAAAGTAAAACCGAAGAGAATATCGAATCTTTAGCATTATTTTGGTGTATTTATTGTTGTGTCAGTACATATTTATACTTTTCGGCGAAACCGATTGTGACAAAACATGATGACTCAAAATTTTGTTTGTAAACGTAGATTGTTTGTTTGCAATTCCTTTGAAATGATAGTGTTTGGTCCTTTGTCAAAATAAAAAAATACAAAAAGTTTTATCCTATCCTGGTGATCTAAATAGATACGGCGTTTTTACAATGCCTCCGTAAGCAAATGAACAAAAAACTTGGGCCGCAAACTTTAGAAATTGGATCATCGAACTGTTAGTGAGGCCAATGAACGTGGCGGCGTTTCGAATACATCAGACGTTTAGTTGTAAACTTTACTCTTAGCGTGCTGGTGCATTCTTTTGCGAAATTTCGTACTTGCAAAAAAATTCTAGTCAACCAAAACAAAAATTTCTTTGACTCTTTATGTAAAATGTTTAGTGATATTATTTCAACGGGTATGTGATTTCATTTTGAATTTGAAACAAACCTTTTTGCCACATTGTAAATTTTTTATGTCGTTATATTGTCTGTCATTACATAACAAATTCTATTTCTATATCGTGTATGTTTTTTGCAAGCAATCCAATATCAGGTCTTTAGATTTTTTCTATAAAATAATATTTTAAGGCCTGCTATATCTTTAAATATAACATTATCGACTCGGACAATTCATTTTTAATGTATTATTTACCAAATATTTTTGTTTGTTGCAGCCAAACGGCAAGTCTACAAGTGAAGTACGAGCTCCTATAGCGACTACTGAATCGACAGCAGAGTCGCCAGTAAAAATGCAGGCATCTCAAGCTGCAACTACTCCTGTTCCTACTCCTACTTCTACACACTCGTCGAGTCAGTCGTACAGACACACAAAGCGGACAGCAAAGGATTATATATTTGGAAAATTGATTGGTGACGGCTGTTATAGCACAGTATTTTTGGCGAAAGATATTCACACTGGCAAAGAGTATGCAAGTAAGTATTTATTAAATAAAAACATCTCCACTAACAAAAAAAATATGATATTTTTTTTTAATTTACTTACTACCTTTTAATTTCCTAAAATAATTGTTATTAAACTCCTATTTATTTTTGTCTTTCAGTTAAAGTTTGTGAGAAGAGTCATATCGTACGCCATCAGAAAGTACAGTATGTTAAACGTGAAAAGGATGCTCTAAACATGCTTTTTAACATCCCATATGGGTTTGTAAAACTTTACTGCACGTTTCAAGATGAAGAGAGATTATATTTTGTGCTTTCCTACGCGAAGAACGGCGAACTACTACATTATATTAATAAAGTGGGCTCCTTTGAGCTAAACGTTGCGAAATACTATGCTGCTGAATTATTATTGGCTTTAGAAAAAATGCACGCAAAGGGAATAATCCATCGCGACTTGAAGCCGGAAAATATTTTATTGGACGAAAACATGCATTTACAAATCGCTGATTTTGGTACAGTCAAAATTCTTGATCCCGAAAAAATTAGATCTTCTACGCCAACTGTGACCGAAGACCAGGAATCATCATCGAACGTGAGATCGAGAAAAATAAGTTTTGTTGGAACAGCACAATATGTTAGTCCGGACCTATTGCAAAATCGCGTAGATACACGTGCATCAGATTTATGGGCTTTGGGTTGTATTATTTATCAAATGATATCGGGTCTACCGCCTTTCCGGGCGTCCAACGACTTTCTCACTTTTCAAAAAATTCTTAAAATGGAATATGAATTCCCTGAAGGCTTTCCCGCCGATGCCAAGGATTTAGTAGAAAAATTATTAGTTTTAGACCACACTAAGAGGCTCGGATCTAATGACAAAGGTGATACTTACGAAAGCATTCGTCAGCATCCATTTTTCGAAGGCATCGATTGGGAAAATATTTATGAACAGACGCCACCAAAGATAAGCCCATATTTGCCCAGAGGATCATTTGAAGAGGAATACACAGTGCCTGATCACTTAGAGCCAGGGTTGGGGGGTAGACAAATTCTACGTTTATGGGAATTCGATCTATCGACATCTAGAGGTAAGAGTAATTTTTAATTATTATACATATATTTCGGGATTTTCACAAAAGTTTTAATAATAACTTATGTAGACCACTTAGCTTACAGTCTTATTGCTCGTTAAATATAGGCAATTTCAAAGTCTTGCAGTGCATTGAAGCGACGAGTAAGAAGATCGTTCGTGACCTAAATACTTTGCAAAATGCGCATGTTTATAAGTGAATCAGGTCTGATAATAATGTTCGTTTCCGTTCTCACTTAATGGTCAAATTCGCGCCCACATTGATTTTATTGATACTAACAGTTACAGAAATAAACATGAAATAGCATCCGTGCACGTTTTAAAATATATCGTAATACAATCTCAGTAGATGCATATGGATTGTCGCGTCATCAGTCGCTAGCATTGTTCGGTCGAAACGGACATCCTTATGTTCTCGATTTACGTTTGTATAGTGCACACGTGACGTCATTTCCCGGCACACAAGAGTCCTGCATTCTCAGTTGCGACATTATTGAATGACTCGTCGCGGCCGGCTTTATTAATGATCTCTCTTGATAAACAGCTGGGCTCGTATTTTGATACATGTGTATGTAATGGAATGACTGTTAGAAAATATGTTTCTCAGTATCTCTTAGCATCTTCATAATTTACTTACTCCAAAATATTAATAGCGTTTAAGTTTCCTGCGTTTAAATTATTGTCACTAATAAAGAATATTTGTTTCAGGAATATTAAATATCAGTCCCGAAGAAAAACGTCGTCGTCTCGAGGTTCAAGCTCGTGAAAATAGATGGCATCAATTTGTTGACGGAGAACTCATATTAAAACAAGGCCTTGTAGAAAAACGAAAGGGATTATTCGCAAGGCGCCGCATGTTACTATTGACGACGGGGCCGCGGCTGTTCTACGTCGACCCTGTCAACATGGTACTCAAGGGGGAAATACCTTGGTCGCCAGAGTTGCGTGTCGAGGCTAAGAACTTCAGAATATTTTTAGTGTACACGGTAAGATTTATGATGATATATATAAATCCTAACCCTCCGTTATATTTAGTTTCTGAATCTATAAATGAAAATTTGAGAGCAACAGTGAAATTAATATGAATCAGTCAGACGGTCATCTATGACATATAATTGCAAACTATATGATTTTAATGAATATTATTTTGTTTTATGATGTTTTGCTTACGAAAGTATTTTTTGTTACAGCCAAATCGTACATATTACTTGGAGGATCCGGAGGCGTACGCCCTGGAGTGGACGAGGGTGATCGACGAGGTGCGCATCGGCACGTACGGCCGGGACACGACCTAGGCGGTCTCGCGGCCGAGCCGGACGCGCCCGCAATCTTCCCGCTCACGGCGAGCACACCTCTAGGATATAACTAGGCTTCATTTCGAGCACGAAATCATCCGGAGATACCTTTCACTATGAAAGATTCGTGTCCTCAGTTACGAACGATCCTTTAAGTTTGCGACGGCCACGTCCGCGAGCGGCGCCACATATGTTCCGACGCGACGCTCCGCACCGGGGAACGAGGCAGTTCGCAGATCGGTGCGCCGATGACTGATTCCTACTAGTATGTCCCGACTTTCTTAAATTATTGTTCTAATTTAAGTTTATTTAATTGTGGATATCAGCGGTATATATGTAAATATTTGTCGTAATTTATTATGAAATCATTAGGTGTAATGTGACTTGTATATGTGGGCCGTCAACTTAAACGCCGGCCTCGTGTAAGCATGGACTTGTTATTCGCCACCCGCGTGTTCACGAAGCCCATTCCGGTTGGTAACTAGGCAATTTGTAGCTAAATTAATAATTATTTATTTTATTTTAATTATTTGCCAACGGAATGCGACTATTGTACAGATATTAAAACAGTAGAAAAATATTGAGTGAATAGTTTCCATAGTTTGTTACACATGCCATTGAAAGAGCGAATAGGTGATAATAGTTGAGAGCAGTTGTTAAGAATGTTACAATGGCAGTGTTGATAAAATGGAAACATTCTTTATATAAGAAGGATAGCTTCTTAATAAGGGCGAGAAGGATGCGCGCTGATGGTTATGGTGTAAGGAAGGCGCGTCCGCGCGCGTCCCGGCCTCCGCTCGCCTCTCCGACGTGAAGTCGTTGAGCTAGTGCTTTCAATACATGTGCATCGCATGCACAGTGCACTATAATCCTAACTTAGTTAAAGTATACGGATAATATCGCCGAAGGTGATTGCAACAATATTGAGATAATGGGATTGTTACCCTGTTATTTCTATAACAACTGATTTCCTAAATTCGGTTTATTTTCAGAAAAATATTACTTAATACAAGCTTGTGTTTTGTTGTTTATGTTTATTAATATAAAAATAGTAATGAAACTGCTAGAAATTCAATGTCATGGCTTTCGTGATACCTACTTGTTTTCGGTTGTATTTTTGTTGTTAATATGAAATCAGTTTGAAGTTGTAACCTTAGCTTAATAGTTTTAAATGCCTAAACTTGCCTGGAAGTATTTATTTCAGAGGGGCTTAATGTAACGGGATTAAATCCAAGTCACTTAGAAAAATATAAAATCTAGGAGAAATGGGTTTCTACCTATAAATTGTTTTCTTAAATAGAATTACATTGGCTGTATTCAACATTAATTGGAACAACTCCATGACATTGTTACTAATAAACTATCTGCATTTACATTTAATAACTGTTACTGTACTAGTTATATTTTAAAAACATTTGTATTGCATAAATTCCATAAAGTAAATAAGAAATTGAAAATAAATTGAAGTTGATTTTTTAAGAAATCTCTGTTTTTTATTCTTAATCTTACCTTATACCTTCATAACCATCTTAACAGGTCTTAGTCCTCAATCATCATTTATTATGTTGATTTTAGCTGATTAGATTATCTGTATTTAAGGTATTCTTTTTTGATCTTTTCATTTAACAAATGGTGCTTGAAATTGACATTTGAGCTGAGTGTGATTAGCTCTGTACAGTCCTATATATTAAATTCATGTTTAGTGACATCTATTCATCATCTCAGTGCTTATTTGTCCAAACTACCAATTTCCCAAAAGTTTTTTGATAAAGAATTATTGATTTAAATGTCAATAATTATAAAATGTATATTTTAGTTTAAAAAAGCCGAAAAGATGTATTCTATTTATAGATATAGGTATTATATGTACTAGAGACTCACCCCTTGCTTCGCTCGGGTTCGTCCCTAGGTTGATACCCCATACACATTTTCATCACCATTTTCACCCATAAAGGGACGATATCCGGGATAAAAGTTCCTTCCCAGGGTCTCAAACTATCTTTTTCAGTAGATCCAAAAATTACCCCCTACAACCTCACAAAATTTACATCTTCATAATATTAGTATAGATATAAATCTAAGAAATAAAGCTTTGTTTTTAAAATAGAGGAACAAAATTATCATAGAGTATATTGCTACATATATAAAAAAATTATCTACTGTAAGGTACAACAAGTATTAGTCGTTTGAACAAATAAGCACTAAGGTGAGGTATTGTGGACATGATAGTTGAGAAGTTTAAGTATTCTCATTAGGACTAGAAGCCCATGATACTCAGTACCTTTGTTGTATGTTAAATTGAATCTCAGTAACAGACTCGAGGGGGGCTATTATAGCAAGTGTGGTATTTTTTGATCCCAGAATTTATAAAGAATAGACAATTACTATAAAGACTGAATGATGTTAATATAAAAACTCATTGAAAATATTTAAAGCATATACAATAATATGAAGTGCAGTACAATGTGTACCAAAATATTTTAATTGCATTGAATTAAACTAAACATTTTATAGTAAACTCAAAATATTTTTTTTTTCTAAAATTAAAGAAATTTATATTGCAAATTTTCTTTACTACAAAGAAACGTTCTAATTTGAAGATTGATATTACTTATATTCTATAATATATTTATACGAGTTTTTTTATTGCTGGCTAGCTGTGAAATGCATTTACGCATATCACCTGTGTTTACGGAAGTCCCCTCGATGTATAATGTATTTATTCACCTTGTCGTGGAGGGGAGGGCCCCTTAGCATCCGTGATCCGGCAACTCAGCTGGGCGCGAAGCCAACAGAAACACAGGGAGATAGCCCACGTTGCTCTTGGTACTTACTTCTCTAACAGCAGAGTGGACTTGCGGTGGTATGCGTAAATGCAGACGGCAGGTCGAGGTGAACATACACCGGGGGACGTCCCTAGGTCCCTATAAACTATCTGTGTACTAAATTCCATAGTAAAATGTCAATAGTCTGACAGCCAAAGCCTTTGGCCCAAAGTTTGACTGCAGTTTAGAATAGGGGACATGACATCCCCTGGTGGAATGGGTGGTATTTCTGGATAGGGGACGTGATAGGGAGTCGAAATGTTAAATAAAAATTTTTACGGAAACAAAAGAGTCAAAAGTTATTGAGACTTAAAGTTACAACATTTCCATACATTATTTTGACATTACTACCATTTAGACACTTGGAAATGTCAAAACGTCACTTTCAATTGTCAAAATGGTCTCCAGATGATTGTCTTTATTTGTACTTTGCGTGAAATTCGAATTTTCTAGTTTTCTAGTCATTTATGGCACTCGCCGGCCGCTACCGCGGCACGCTCGCTTCGCTCGCTCGGCTCGTGCGTTGTGGCAACTGATCTAACCTTTTTTTTTTTTTTTTTAACGTTGGGAAATGCATTTACGCACGACGTGTGGGACTCACCGGCGTAATACAGCCAGTACTACCCACTAAAACCCAACAAAACCTTCCCCCGTCTTAATGGGGCGTCGCAGGATCGCTTACGCATTCAACTACGACGCCCCGACGGCAGGTCTGCCGGAGCAGACCACCACAACCATGGGGTTGCTCCACAGTCCACTCTGCTATCAGAGAAGTACCAGGAGCAACCCGCATGGTACACCGCCCCCCGAAGAGGGCCACCTCCCACCGCCCACTGAAGTGGGCAACCTCCCTGTGCGTTACTTAGCTTCGCGCCCGGTTGGATTGCTGGGCACTACTGAGCCCCCCCACCACGACAAGGTGAACGCACGTTGGGGGGGAACTGTTCTAACCTAACCTAACTAAGATATGACGAATAATAAATAAATAATGTATTTATGAAGTGAAAATAATATTTTTCTTTTTATTTATTTATTAATATTACCAACAGAAAAAGCAAAAATAATCAAATATAATCTGTTGTCATTTAAGCGGTAATATAAAACAAAGTGACAGTTTTGCTTTTGTCAAAATGTAAGATCATTTTGTTTGTGTTGTGAAATTATTAAAATATTAAATACAATAAAGCATTAATTGTTGTGAAAATATGTATTGTACATAAAAAAGGACGCGTACTATTCGTTAAAGGTATGTTTATCTGTTGTAATTACTTATTTAGGTAAAGAAATGTATGGAAATGTGTTAGATATGTTATAACTTTAAGTCTCAATAACTTTTTACTCGTACGTTTCTCCCAAATATTTTTAATATATTTTGACTCTCTGTCACCTCCCCTATCTAAAAATACCACCCACTCCGAATGGTGGTAAAGAAATATATGAAAATGTATGGAAATGTTGTAACTTTAAGTCTCAATAACTTTTGACTCTTTTGTTTCCGTAAAAATTTTTATTTAACATTTCGACTCCCTATCACGTCCCCTATCCAGAAATACCACCCACTCCACCAGGGGCCATGTCCCCTAATCTAAACTTGTGCCCAAAGGTTTTACAGGGATAAAATGACGAGACCTAGCACTTGGCAGAACTCTTATTTAAATTTTAAAATTTATCCGACCCGGTGGCCAAAACTGGAACTAATCTAATTTTCTAAATGTCGCCATTTTGAATGTCATTTTGTTGTCAAGTGTTGTCATGAAAGCCAGCCTCTGAATTACCGAGATGTCCTGATTTTACGAAAAACTTTGCATTTCTCAGTGTGAATATATCTTTTTAAACCGATCAATTCTCAATCTCTACCGTGTCTTCTTTATTCTACACGACATTGGCGAAGTAAATTGTGCCCAAAATCAAATGGCACGCTTAAAAGCCACAGTACAAAGAACATTGAAATCACCCAGATGAACAACTACATGATCATAATTAAGACAGACGTCAGAACAAAAACCGATAAATCACAATTTGACATTTTTTTATGATGCCAAATGGTTGTTCTCGTACATATCTTGCTCTATGGTTAATGTAACCTGGTCGAAAACTGATAAATCCGCTCTAAATCCGTCCGTGAAATACAATGGTCCTAAACAAAAACCGATAATTACATCAATCGTACTAAACAACGATGGCGATCGATAAATTCCTAACATTTTTCATTGTTGACTCTTGATTTTGTCAAAAACCGATATATCTAATTTCGAGTTGAGATATATCCTACAGTGTTTTATCAAACATCGATATATCCAGTTGGTTTGGTCAATAAATGATACATCCATTTTCTTGTTTTTATAACTCAACAGTCACGAATGCAGAATTTAAGTTTCCAAACAGTGATGCTAGCACTAATAAATAGATAGATTTTGTTTAACTCTAAATTAAAAAACTATTTACTTGGCCATATTTTCACATTTTTCCACAAAAACACAAATGTGATTTATCGGTTTTAGTTCCGACGCTCCTCATTATTATAATATTAAAATATAATTCAATAAAAATGTGTTTAGTTTTTTTTTCTTTTTATATCATGTTGTATAACAATGACTAAAACAGCAAATTAACATTTCGATTACTCCTTGCACTGTGCACTTGGGCTGTCATTATTTTTACCTAAAAAACTGCGGAAATTCTATTTAGCGCCAATACTAAATTTAACAACAGCGACGCCACGCTGTTACCGGATCGATAAGTATGTGGCATTATAAAGAGTTTTCTCGCTGACCCAGTTCTCACTTACGCAAGTTAGACTGTATGTACAATATATTATTTTATAATGTGTATCAATTTAATTTACAAAAACATTATGATTATTTCTAAAATTGTATTATATTTAAATTTAAGGGGAGTTTAAAACCGTAGAGGCTAGCAACATTCCGTCGCATAACCTTTAAATTTTAACGCCACGTCTGCTGGACCTCTTTTGTGAGATGGACTCTATAGTCAATTTACTTATCATCACAGATAGAAAAGAAATCATTACAATATACTCTATGCAGTCTAATATTTTATCTGTGGTAACTGACAAGTTATGAATAGACAACTGTCATTGTCATTTGGCATGGATGACAATTGATAAATAAAAGTCACTTGTTATTTGGTAGGTTATTTCAATTTTCATGCAAATTGCAATTCGACTAACAAATATTGATTTTTGTTTATCTAATAAGTTTTAATTGAAGAACTATCGCTCTATCAGTTAGTGTTAATTATGTCAACCAAGGTTATTAAGTATGTTGGGAGAACGACAAATTTTAAAGGCAAGACCTTATGGGAAATTGTCGGAAGTCTTAAAAATAATGGGGTAGGGAGGATTATATGCCGTTCAGTATTTGAACGCTATCCAGAACCTAGTTTTATGAAGATTGTGAAAGTGGAAACTTGTCCTGATGAAGTGAGTTTTAATTTACACATTTCAGCTGTATATCCATACCAATATTATAAATGTATGTTTGTTTTTTTGCTTGTCATTCTTTCACGTTGAAACATAGTGACAGATTGGCGTGATTTTCTGTGTAGATAGAGTCGGAGGACGGAAGAGTGACATAGGCTACTTTTTACCATGTTAGGTTATCTCATTCCCACTGGAAAACATTATATATATATATATATATATATATATATATATATATATATATATATATATATATATATTATATTATATTATATTATATAGCGACTCACCCTCTCTTCAATACAAACTTTCATCCCCATTTTTACTCTTTGTATCCTTCATATGTAAGAAATATCATTTGTGAATTTTTCATAAAATCTGGTACTTATACATTTTTACAGAAAAGCAGTAAGTAGTTAACTGTTATAGTGAATTTAAAAAAATAACAAAAACATTTAAAAGTTATTTGATATGTGTACTGCTTTATTTATGAAACTGAACAGTTGATTTTCACCAATGTCAAAGAGAATGAAAAAGAAATTCCAAATGGGACTCAAATTTAATTTTCGTTGATATTCTATTATATTTACAATTATAGTATTTTTTTTAAATGGAATTGATTATGATGTGATACATTTTTTTTAATAAAAATGTCTATATCACACTTTTCGTGCAATTTGTGCATATTTTATTTTTTATTTGATCAAGTTAACTTATCCAAATTCCAGGAAAGAAGGAGAGTACGCGTTTGGGTTGAGAAAACATTTAGAGGTAGAAAATTGCCCAAATATACAGAAATTTACCGTACATCTTATAAACCTGATTATAAACTTATTACTAAAGATGAAGAAGCCAAATTAATCGAAGCAGTTAAAGCAATTGAAAAAACAACTGAGGTTATTTTACCAAAGACTATTGAAATGCCACCATTAATGAAGCAATTTATTGTAAAAGACTATGAAAAGAAAGGATTTGAGGTGATTTAATGCTTTTTTTGTCAATCTAAATTTGTTACAAGGTTTTTCGAATAATTGAGCCCATTACGAAAGATCTGTTCGAGTTTCGTCTTCTATATTGTAGAATAAAGATGACCATTTATATACAAAGTAAATAAAATATTTACTTTCAAAACTGTTAAACTTTAAGGTTATTGCTATATATAGGCTTATCCTATTTGGCCACCCGAGAACTATCTACTTTAATGTAGCTGACATTAAAGTAGATAGAATCTACATGTATGTACATATTATATTGAGGTGGTGCAAATAACCGACTATATTTTTCATGTCTCCGATGAAAATATGTATGTTTATCATGTTTAAAGAGTCCTCTTTAAAGATCAGAAGTTACTATTTTTTTAGTTAATATATTTAACCACAGTGAGAAATTTTTTTATTAAAAAAATAATTTTGGCCATTTTTAGAATTTATAAAAATCTTGAAGTATCTATTCTTGCTAGTAAAATGTATAGTTTTAAATATATGTATTTTCTGTTTAATGTACTTAGGGTTGATAACCAAAATAACAATTACAATTACATTCTGAACGTCCACCCTGTTGGTGGATATCAAAAAATTTACTGTACATACTCAGAATCAGATTTTGCCAGTACATTTTATTTGATATTTGATATTTAATAAAATTTACCCAGTTTAGTTTATTTGATATTTAATAAAATTTACCCACGTAAGAAAAAAAGGTATATGCTAGTGACTTTTGTAATTTCTTTCATTGATACATTCATTATTTCATAATTACATTCATTTAATTTTTATTCAAGACACAAAGGTGCATAAAGAAAAATTGATAGGAAGGTGCAAAAGATCTAGTTACTGTTCTACAATTTGCTACAACCTTGAATAGCTTTGTCCATAAGTTGCTTCACAAATTCTGAGTATTCTTTGGGTGAATAAATGGGATAAGCCATGAAACTTCCAAATATAGTATACATATTCCCATAAAAAGTTTTGATGTTTTATAATTGTTTTTTTTTTCTTGGGACATTAACACACAGCGCCATCTAGTTCCATGGTAAGCTACGAGGCTTGTGTTATGGATACCAGATAGTTGATACACTACACATATATAAGTTTAAATACATACATATTATAAATATAAACACCCATGACTGGAGTACAAACATTCGTCATTACACAAATGAATGCCCCCAGCGGGACTCGAACCCGCGACCGCTAGCACAGCAAGTAGGGTCACTACAAACTGAGCCAAACGTGTCGAAACGATTATGATTTTATTGTACAGGTATTAATACTTAATACCTATTTTTATGTAGTTCATGTGTTGCATTGATTTAATTTTTTTATATTGTTTTTTACAGACTGTAAAGGAATTTGTGCTGCCAATATCCTACAGCCATAGTCCAAATAGAGTGCAAAGAATTGCTAAAGATAATGAAAAACCAACAGTTGAATTTACTATGGGTCTTGGAAAACCAATAAGTCCCTCTCTCTATGAAGGAGTCCAGTTACAATAATATTTTGGATGTAAATTATACTCATATTAGAATAATATAATTAGTTTTTATGTAAATAAAACATATTGAATCAACAAATTTTTAATTTAAAGAATAGTGTTATTTTTTATGAATACCCTGTTGTGAAGCAAATTTTTTTGCTAACAGTGGATTTGAATGCATTTCCGGATGAGATTGCTCTATATCCAGTTTCTGTAAAAATAAGAAAAATAGTAAAGGTTGATATTTTGACAAAATAGTTAAAAGTATGTTGAAATTTTAAAATATATTTTATAACCAGATCAGATGAACTGGTCTGTTAATTATTTTCAATATTTTTCCTCTAAATAAATATAACATGATTGTTTACTCGAATGAAATATTTCATTGAATATTTGAAAAACGGAACGTATTCCATCTATATGTTAAGCTATTTAATTATTATTGAACAGGTCTTTAATACATTGAAATGTGAGCTTTGTAATTTATATAATATTAATCCTTATTGCTTTGAAAGTTGGGGATTTATTATGTGGCATTGTCCATAATATAAGTTGTGTTTAAATAAATCTTTGAATTAAGAAGATGAAGGAATAGAAAAAAGAAAAAGATACTCAACTGACAATTTGTGTCCATTTTTGTTACATTGGTCGCTTTAAAATGTCAGTCTAGTAGTATAATTTTTCATATATTTTCTTAGTATGTAAACAATACCATTATATTAATTTAAAAATGATATGCTCAGATGAGATAATAGAATTAGAAATTCAATTTTTACGAAATCGGGTTTTTCTTGATTTTATACTTTATTTATAGAGTTAATTTTGGCCAATCAAATATTTGGAATTTTATTTATCTATTTCTTGATGACTATTATATACAAGGTGTGTATTTTTTGTGATTGCCTTTTACACAAAATATCCATATAATTTTTAACACTCGCGTTATCAAGACGGATATCTATATAGTACGTATTATCAAAATCGGTTAAGCCCAAGTTTTTATATGCTCCCTCTTATTCTTTTGGTCGTGAGACATAAACAAGCTCAAGAGCTTCGTTATGATTTGAGCACAAATGGACCAATTAAAAAGTAAAAATGGCGAAGTACGTAGTACATATATCATGTTATAAAATCTTTAACGTATTTAGGTAATTATATTTATTTACCTTCCAAAATTCACGCATCTCTTGAACGTCTTCTTTGCGTTGCACAAAATATTGACGAACAGTTTTCTGAATTAATGTAGCTGCGTAATCTTCTGGCCATAACCAGGATTTTGGATAATAGGGACGTGGGCTTGAAAAAGGGTTTAAGTTGGCAGATATAGTTTAGCAATATTATATCACCAAGGTCTTGCATGTCCAAACATTAGAACTAACTTTGTTTTAATCCGCATTTCATTTACAAAGAGATATAAAGGGGAAATTGTGCTTCATAGATATAAATCTAAATTATATTAAGAACATTTTTTCGGAATAATATGATAAATCCCTTTGTAAAAATATATTATTTGTAAACAGTATAGTAGTAGGTGGTATTTTCTTAAGAGTAATAGCTCCACTCCTAAAAGTCGTAACAACATAGTCTTCTTCAATAAATAAATAAAAAATATGTTTTTTTAATCAGATAAGTGGTTCAAGAGATTAACGTGTTTAAACAAACAAACTATTCAGCTTTATATAATTAGCATAGATTAAGTACTGAAAAATTCTTATGCTAACCACTCTGAAGAATTTTGTGGAAAAACATTTTTGTTCTAGAGTGTAGTTTAGATATTTGAATTCCAAAATATAAAGATTCTAGGTTAAGCAATCCCATTTTAGGCTAACGACATAACGTATTAATTGTTCTAAACTTACTATTTCTTAAGATGTTTTTGAACCCAGGGCATGTTGAATAAATGCAAATTGTTTAGTTTACGTTCTGGATAACGTGGGTTATTGTTCCACAGCATCTGTAATAGAGGAAATTTAATTATTATTCTTATGGTTTTTAAACATATGTTTTAAAATAGAATTTATGTAAGTGGTATGAACATTTAAAATACAAACATAAATAAAAACTTTTTAACAAAAAAATAAAAACCGACTTCAAACAAAAGCACTAAAAAGTAAAAAATAACTGATTGGTAGTTTTCATTTACTATACATACCTAATCAAATGTTATCGAAGTCGGTGTGCTTTGATTTGTATGGGCTGGCACCGATTTCGAAAATATTTGATTAGGTATGTATTTAATAGGTAGTCTTTAATTACTTAGCCAAAGCACACCGACTTCGAAAATATTTGATTAGGTATGTATAGTAAATGAAAACTACCAATCAGTTATTTTTTACTTTTTAGTGCTTTTGTTTGAAGTCGGTTTTTATTTTTTTTGTTAAAAAGTTTTTATTTTTCCCTTTTTAGTGTAGACAGTAGTAGCAAAGTAAGAATTCTTACGTGTTACGCTTGTCAAATCAAACAAAATAAGCCCAAACTCAAAGTATCTACTATTAGCCGTTGAAGAGTTCCACCTATCCACCTTCTGGCCTTGCCATCAGATCAGGTCAACAACACCGAACCACTGTACTATCAACGAAAATAGAAATACTTGCAAAGTTTCAAGTCAATATGACAATTAGAAGTAGGTTAAGTTCATCATTAGGTGTTTTTCCACCCTTAGGGGTGGTATTTTTTTTTGAAATTTAAATGGGACCAATCTGGCAGTATACCCTTTCAAACAAAACAAAAATTGTCCAAATCGGTTAATAAATGACGGAGTTCTGAGGTAACAAACATAAAAAAAAACATACGGTCGAATTGAGAACCTCCTCCTTTTTGAAGTCGGTTGAAAAAGAAAGAAACTCACTTCAACGATATGATCAATACCATTAAAAATACACTTCTGATTTTTTAAGGCATCCCATATCTCAGCTTTTTGTAGGGTTTCTTCTAATGCAGGTATTAAATATATAAAAATGTTGTTTTTTATATAATCACATTCAGTTTCTGAGGAACGAAAATAGACATTAAAGCTGATAAAATTTTCAGATATGCAAGAGTTAAGCTTAGAAGTGACGCTCATTGATTCTTCTTTTGTGAGTACACTAAATAAAAATATAAATAGCTAAACAAATTATCTAGCAATAAGAAATCAAGGCAGTGGTAGCCCAGTGGTAACGCACTCGCTTGGGAATCCGAGTGAAGCGGGTTCAAGTCCCGGATCTCGCACATCTGATATTTTCATGTGCGACAGCGAATCATTTCTAACATGATTACCACTTGTCTTACGGTGAAGGAAAAACATCGTGAGGAAACCTGCATGTTTGAGAGAACCTAGCAAGTTTTCGAAAGACATGTAAAGTCCGCCAACCCGCACTTGGCCAGCGTGGTGGACTATGGCCTGATCCCCCTAGTATTGAAGGGAGGCCCTTGCCCAGCAGTGGGACGTTAAAAAGGGCTGAATACAAGAAAGCATTACTTACAGGATATTTATTATCATCTGTCGAATCGAATTTAAAATGTTGTGTTCATTTTATCAATAATGTTAAAAGTAAGTACACATACATTGTACACATATTTTAGGTTCATTAGTAAACTTTTTTATTTTCAAATATTTCTATCTCTTTTAATTTTTTTTGCATTTTATAATTTATAACAAGCGATAAATAAACAATTTAAAAACCCCTGACCATCTTGGGCCGATTTTCATGAAACATAGCTAAGAACGTTCCTAACTAAATTTTACCTTTCAAACAAAAAAAAAAAACAAAATCAAAATCGGTTCATCCGTTCTGGAGCTACGATGCCCAGACAGAAACACATACATACAGACACGTCAAACTTATAAACCCCGTCATTTTTGCGTCGGGGGTTAAAAACTAAAGATGAATATTGTCTGTTTATTCTATTTTTATTTTTGTAACATGGAAAATATTAGATAGATAAATGTTACTCTGCTGTATATATTACAATTTATAAGCTGTTATGTTGTAAGTAATTAATTATAATAAAACTAACTAAGAAAAGGCGGTTTGGACGCAGGTTCCTTTTTACTTTCCGAGTATTCTTCGATCTCTTTAAGCCTCTCTTCGCTCTCCTCAACTATTTGAAACCAGTTAGCCTTATTTGCTGTCTTGAGTAATATAGGAAACTCTACTTCAGAACAAGGAAGGCTATCTGGTAGTGTGAAAGCAGACAACGTGTCGTAGTTTATATCATTCACTGCCGATTTAACTTCTTTTGTTTTTCCTTTGCGATCTGTTCCTTTTCCAGCCATTGAATTGTGAAAATCCTCGAAGGAAAGTAAAGATCTTTGAATGAAATTACAAATGACTTAAAAATTATTTTTCAGGTCGTAGTACATCAATCAAACAAGGTTTTATATTTACGTTGATTAATATTATTTACATACGTACATACGTCACATGGTATGAAATAAGTAGTTAAGGATGTTTTGGAAGGTTTTTGTAATTATATCTATTGTGAAGGCAGAACGACAAAATCAGTTAAACATACAGTTTTATAATATACTCCTTAACAGCGATAAAAATATTAATATATTAGCTTAGGTATAGTTATTATATTAAACTTAATTTTTTTTATTTAATTTCGAATTTTAATTACAGTAATATTTTACCGTGCCCGAAAATTGCATTGTTAAATGTTATAGGATATTTTAAAAGAATTTGTCGTTTGTGATTTAATGTAGGTTTGTACTGCGCTCTTGTCATATACTAGTGGATTATTGTATGTACCTATACAAAATGTTATTTCTTTTATTTTTTGGTAATAGAAAAAAAGCAAAATAAAAATTTGCTATGCTATCACAGCCAATATCGGTGTTCTTATTGTTTTTCAACAGCCAAACATCAAACAATATTTTCTTTACATGCTTCCTGTTTTTAGGGTAAAACATTTTGCGGGTCTATTAAGTTTATCTATCTATACATATGTGTATCTGTACGTGTATAATAAAATTGTAACAAAGCAAAATCTGTACATGAAATATTTTAAAACAGTGACTATTACATATTGTGTACAAAATATAGACCTCGCCTCTCAAAACAATATTTATTGAAATTTTTGTCGGTTTGTTTGTTTATCTGTTGGTTTATGTATCTGTGTGCATTTCACGTAAAAAGTACCTACTGAATCGATCTTAGGTAAATTTTGTGTAGTGATAACTTATTACATATTCAGGTCAATATTTAGTAGACCTTTTACTATAGGATTTTTTTATTCGCACGGGAAAACATAATAACTAGTTTGGCACTCGGCCGTAATACAAAATCTTAAAGATTTATTACATAAAAACTATCAGAAGCAGTATTAAAAAATAAGATATTTACCAATTTAGTCAGCAAAATCCCGTGTTCGTGGGAAAGTACAAAATTTTGTCCAAGCGGAAGTCTCTCAATAAATGAAGTAGGTTTGCGTTTATAATTTGTAAATATTTTGTGCTATAACATAAATGGCTGAACTAGGACAGTGTTTTGTTAAAAAAATCTGTTTTTAGACCTTTACATAGCTAACGCTGGCTAAACATTAAGAGATACACATATCTAATCAATGTTCTACAAAATTGTAGGTTTTAAAAAGGCCTACAGGAAAGTCCACAATAGCATGTGTGTATCTCCTAAGTTACACTCATAATTACTTTTTATCTATTATCCAGAGGATGACACGAGACCTAGAGATGCATTCGAGTGAAGCGAGGCAGAAAGAGGACTATAATAATAATTCTTTGACCTGACTATTGGGTAATATTGCCAATTTAAAATATATTGCTTTTTATGAATCTTTGATGATATTATTTGATGTGCAAAATAGTTTCGACATGACAGAATTTTAATAAAATTTCTTTTTTTACCTGCTAAAACTTATAAGATTTAGGTTACGATTTTTAAATTTTAACATAGAATTCTTAGTTTTTTATTTAGTTGTAGGTAAGTATCTTATTTTATTGTTGCGTAAGTTTTAAACTTTAAAAGTTAAAATAAAAAAACTAATAAGTCAATAATAATTATGAAATGTTTTTTTTTATTTTTAGCTAAAAGCAATTAGGAACAATAAAACCATACCTATATAGTTTTCGCGTGTATATATAGTTAGAACGGTGCAAAAATTGATCCAAACTTATTCAGTATAGTGGTAGCCGATGAGTGATTATAAAGTAAACTCACAATATTATAAACAAAGATTTTTATACTTACTTTTTGACATATATGAATAAAACTTACTTGCCTCAAAATTTAATAAAATAACATATGTTCAGGCTCCAAATCGTGGATTTACAAGTGTTTCCATTAGGGTCTAGAAAGTTTTCTAACAAAATAAGACATTACTAAGTACATAATATTACAATGCACAAAGGACAATGAAACCTTTTGTATGGACCGGTGGCATCATTTTCTTCGCCTGTAATGAAACTAAGGTCATCATTCGAAAGACTATGTAAGAAGTCTATTAAAGAAGAAACCAACTCGCTAAACCGTAATAATAGCAGAAATATTATGGTTGCTATTCCTTTTTATCAAGCGTTATTTTTTAATAATACCTACACAATATCTATACTTTGTTATGGTTTAGCAAGTTGATTTCTTCTTAAATAAGACTTCTTACACAGTGTTTTAGTTATAAAATTAATTTCAAAAAGTTGCATACCTCTTTAAAATCACAACATATTTTATTAAACCTATAATACTTAAAATGAAATAGCACAATTGCTAATATGTACTATTTATATATTATATTGTTAATACTATTTCGTTTTTCTTGTGTAAAGGTAAATGAAAAATAAATTTATATATGAATAAAAATCAATATTTTATTTTATAAAAAACTGCACAAGCATTTACTTAATATCTCTGGACATTACCATCCAAAGGATAAGAATAAATTAAAGAATTAAATAAATGTTTACATTCTAAACATAGCATGAATATCATAACATATGATATTGGAATCACAAAAAGTGGTTTCCCTAGTAATGGGAGAATTTTCCAGTAATTTGTGAGATCCAGTCTAGATAGTGAGCAACTTTAACGTAGACTCCGGGAACTCCGGGTTGTCCACAACCGATGCCCCATGATACGACACCGACTAACTGCCATGTGCCACCACGCTCACAAACCAAAGGGCCACCGCCATCACCCTTACAAGCGTCTTTGCCTTCTTCTCCGCCAGCGCAAATAAATCCAGGGTTTAGTTCGTAATTGTAACCTAATCTTGTGTGTCTTAGTTGTTGTTGACATTGTCCGTGCGGTAGTATTGGTACGTCGACCTCTTTCAAGATATTTTGGTATTTTCCGTTAGTTCCAAAAGCATCTTTACCCCAACCAGTTGTCCAGCATCTTTGTCCAGCATACTCAGTGTATTTGTCGGGAAGACAAGCAGGGCTAATATGAGGATATTTGGTCCATTCTACAGGATAATCTAGTTTTAAGATAGCGAGGTCATTGTCTAAAGTTCCAGCGTAATATTGTGGATGCACGTGTACGGAGATGACATCTCTTTCAATGTAAGGGTAGAATTCGACATCGTGGTTGACATCCCATTCGCCTAATCTTACTCGCAGCTCAAAGCCTTTGTATCTGCAAAATAAAAATGATTTATGATTTAATATTTAGCTATATATAGACATAAGATAAAAATAAATATTATTTAGAATTATCCAGCAGTTGACAGCTTTGAATACTTACGATTTAATGCAATGAGCTGCAGTCATAATATGAAGACCATCGATAAGTGTTCCTCCACATACGTAAACTGACTCTTTAGGATCTTTCTTTAATATCGCTGCTTGCCATGGATATTCACCGAATTCACTATCTCCATCTATATAAGAAGGAGTCTTGATTCTGCCATTAACACCCTGGGAATGTCTTATTCCACACTGGCCTCGATTAGAAGCTTGCGGTTGAAGTGGTTTTCGACAGCAAACTTGATGTTGTTGGCATTGTGGAATATTCTGTTGATGTCCGAAGTAGCCTTGACGCTAAAAGAAAACAGTACAATTAATAATAAAAATTTTAACTACCTAGAAATGGACGGATTAGTATTTCTGTTTAGAATTTCAATTTGTTGATTACCTCTTCAATGTTTTCACTTTTGGACATTTCTAAGGGAACTTCTCTTTTTTTTCTGTTTTCAGGAAATCGAATTGCTTGGCCTCCCCGGTCGGCCCCAGTATTAGAAGGAACGGTAAGGGAACGTGAATATGCAAATCGGTTAGCATAGGCAAGGCCCTTACTATTTAAACTAGCATTTGCAGATCTTTCAAGATCATAATTGTAGTGTGGATTATGTTGAAGAGAATCAGCATAGTTGTTATCGTCATCATCATAATAATCTTCATTGCCTACTGTTGTTTCATGAACATTGTGAGAATTTATACGAAAGTGACTATTTTGATAATGGGGGTAATGTGGTGAGTAAATAGGTGGTCTGTATATTCCATAATGCTCTTGGTGATCTATAGCGGGATGATTAACAACTGGGGGATGGCCGATAGTAGGATGGCTGATAGGAGGATGGCCGATTGGAGGATGGCCGATAAGGGGATAGCCTATAGGAGAATGGGGATATGGTCTTTGAGGATAATTGTTATAAAAATTGGGATTATAATGGTGATAATGCTCGTGTTTGTTCAAAAGATATTGCTTTTTTTCATGAAATAAATGTCCTAGTTTATTGACAACATGCTCATTTGGAGTCACATGTAAATTAACAAATGGCTTTATAATTTTTTCGCCATAATCGTTTTTTGTAATTTGTACAGCTAATAATGGATTAACAGAGACTAGTCCTAAATTGAGACCACCTCCGTTTAAAGCCGGGCCATAAGGATTGTTTATAGGATTGGAATTGTAGGGATTAATCGGATATCCATTTGAAGGCTGGGGCAACCCAAAAGAGACACCAAACGTGGGCTGCACTTGTTTGTTGTTATTACCGCCATTTCCGCCGTATCCAGTAAACCCAAGGAGGCGCTGCAGTAATATATGTCTTTTTTATAAAATAATATAATTGAATCTTTTCAGATAGTGTTAGAGTGAAGTCCAGTGCCCATTGTTTAGTTTTTCTTTTGGTAATATTTCAATCAGATATTATGAGATTATCTTTACTAGATTATGATAAAATGTTACCCCAGTCTTTGTTTAGATAAAAGTAATGAAAATGATCCAAACGATGTATATGAAAGGATAGGAATTAGGAATGCCATTGAGTAATGTTTATTGCGTTAGTTGATATTTCCTACTATAAATATAATTTAAACTTACCGGTTCAATTTCTTTTGTTTCTTCTTTATCTTTTACTTCGTTAACATCTCTTTTACTAATATTTTTAGTATCTGTAGTATTTTGATTAGTGTCTATATTAGTAGTTTTATTTAAGCCATCTAGTTGTTCTTCAGTTAATGCTAAAATTTCGCCACCCTTATTACGAGGATCGATTGGTAAATATAAGTCATCTCTACGTCCTATAATTTCTTGGCTTGGACATTGGTCGTAATTGACGCATACACAGTCAAATCCTTGAGCTTTAGCTTCATGATAGTTTTGTTGATATTTATTACTATTTTGCCCAAATATTGCTGGACCTTGATTATATAAGCTATTGCTGGATCCTACATGGAGTTCCTTCTTATAAAACTCTCCATTTTGAGAAGCAAATGTGCCTAATGAGTTTTCGTACCGCTGATCTTCGAAAGCATTGTTGGTATATTGGTTTGGCAGTCCTTGATTCGGTATATTGGCACTTCCTTTGTTAAAACTACTATGGCCATATTGAGATCCATATATAGTATCTGTTTCATAGACAGGCTTGATGCTTTGAGAAAATCCACTAGTCATAGGCTTAAATCCACCATTGAGAGTATTAAATTCGCCACCAGATGATGTTATAATATCTGAAGATTGTTGTGTATGTAATTGAGATGCCAAATGGCCTACTGATCCTACAGGTATAGCTACTGGTTTTATTATTACTTTTGGTTCTTTATCGGCGTCACCATGCACGTAATGGTGGTGAACATGTTGTTGTACAACTGTTTCCGTTTTGCTATTGCTGTGCGAACCCGAAGGTGGTTTATTATATGTGGGTTTTAAGTTTTCATAAGAATAAGGTTCATTATTAGCATAACTAGGAGGTTTAGTTACATAATTGGCTTCAAATCCATTATATCCACTACTGCTTTGAGAAAACTGATAATTATTTCCAGCTACACCATACTTTTCTGAAAATCCTGGTCGGGGATTTCCGTAACCTGGTCTCTTAGGTGGTAGCTTTTGTGGACGAGGGGGATATAGCATAGGTTTAGGAGGTCCGTAAGCTCTCGGTGGGCCACGTACAGCTATGGAAGCAACTGGTTTACCAATAGGTTTGATATCAACAGGTTGCGCATAAATTAATTCATCCGGTGAAAGATATGTTCTCTTTTCTTCAGAGTCTTCATCTTCGCACTGAAAATTATTTCACAAAGTTTAATATAATGAAATAAGTAAGGTTAAATTAAAAAATTATAAAAATAATGTTCGAATAGGCTATCAATATTTATATAAATGATACCTGAATAAGTCCTAACGTACAAAGACGTCCTTTGATCAAATTTCTTGCTTCCAAATCATCGCCAGAGTCAAGCGCTTCTTTGATTGTCGGGTCACTATATACGTCATCAAAGCCGCTTAAGCTTCTGCCTTGCTTACTACTGACTAATTCATCTACAATATCATCTAATACGGTTCCATTGGCGTTAAAATTCTTTTCTTGTGCCTGGCTAATTTCTTCACCTTGCAGCAACACAGTTTTCTCGTCGGCATTCTCTGTTTTTTTACTATCGTCGCCTCCCCAAGACCAGTCAGCTGATATGCTTGCTATAGTTAATAGCAATATACAACTTTGTAAAATAATTCGCATGATCTGAAAAAATAAAAACACAAATATAGAGTCATAGCTCATATGCGTTAAAACATATAGAGAAGTGATGTCGAAATCTGGGTACGTAGGCGGAGAATCACTTTTACTTTCGCGGACAGTGATTATATAAGCTTCAGTAATGTCGGAACTCCGTTGTGACTGTTCAAGCAAGAGTGCGTCTGCGAAAGCGCTCTCACGAGTTTAGTAAGCGCCATGCATAATAGGCACTCTCAATGCTTAGTATACTTAGCTTGATATTTAATACATTTTATAATAAGATAGGAACTAATTTCCTTTCGTCATAATTCTAGTTTCTCAAATATCGCATATACTAAAAAAAGTAAGCAGCAGATTTTAATCATGCATTATTCATAATATTATGGGGTCACTCATTGTTTTTATTATGAAAGTGTTAATGGTGTCAGTGTCACTAAAAACCGGCACAGTGGACTATCGACAAGCTCCGCACGTTTCGACCAGTGCGTCATAATTTCTCGTAACCACTGTGATGTAACTTCCTAAATGTTATTCTCTTTTCTTTATGCAATACGTTACAGCACTTAACTTGTTTTAAAACCTAATTTGTATCTAGTTCAAATTTAAGTTTATTTATGCTACATATTCATATTTAAGTGTTGAAATGACAATGTAGTAAAAGATTCAACAAAACCATCAAGAGACTTAATTTTCTCGATCGGTAATATTTACATATAATGCATCTTTGTCTGCTCTCTGCTAGTATGATTTTAATGGCTTATTAGAAAGTGAAAGTCTTGATTAAATGTACACAATGAAAAATATATATGCACAAATATAATAAACACATATTTTTTAAGAAATACCTACAGCTTTTTTTTGAATTAAATAAGAATATATAATTAGAAAAAATGAGAATAGATGTAAATGTAGATTAGAGTGCTTGAAATTTAAACTCAGTTTTTTTTAATCAGCACTCAAACAATAACAGAAAGTCGCTGTTTATTCACACATTGATTATTATTTTCACACGTCACTTTATCGTCCATCTTAAGATAAATAATGATATTATTTAGAAAAAAATGTTATTGTTTGAATTAATCACAACAACTTACTTTATTTTGACACTTTCTTGTTTATCACTTAAAATTTTATTTAAGTTGTTTTCACCACTTAACTGACGCTCTGTTTGCGTCCGAATGACTGCCACATCCACCACCGCCACGCTTTATACTTCGACCAACGTAAAGATGCACGCACTCGGATTTTGTAAGATGATCGACTCAGACTTCTACCAATGCACAATTTGGAGAATGGTGTCGCCGATTAATCATTTAATTTTCATAGTACACAACGATACTTTGTATCTGATCGTAATTTCGTAGTAGAGGGTATGACGTCTGCATTGTCATTGATCAACCCTATCCTCATTAATGCTTAGGTTCCAAGTATATTAGGCAATGGGGACAAAATCGAGGTCGTCTTACGGATCTCATATTATGCCTTACTTTTTTTATGAACTAGCATTAAGGAAAACATATTAACTTGCATGTAGGTATAATTTTTAAACAAGCTATCTAGTCTAATTTATAATAAAGTTTCTGTTTATTTTTCTGATATAAATATATAGTCGAGATATCAATATTGATTAAAATAGCTATAATAAATAGAATAAAGTATGTTAGTAAGTATTTTTATAACGCAAATGCATTTTTTAAATATTTTTTGAAGACGATTTTAGATAATTTCAGACCTAAAATATTTGCATATTTATATAATATAAAGAAAATTGAATATAATAAGCCTATTGTGACATAATGTTATTCAATAAGTACGTCTGCGATTCCTAGCACGATATAATGTAGGCTACATCCCATCTTAAAAGGACATAATGGCGGCGAGCCACTTTCACTGTTGTATTTCTGGTACATATTATACATTTTAATCCAATTTCTTATATATTTGATCTAAATTTGTTAAAAAAAGGTTACAGGTATACATTGTTATAGTTGAAGTCTAAAAAGTTGGTGATTATCATATAATTGAATACACATACACGTGCGAAGCCACAGTTAAGGGCTAGTTAGATAGCAAGATATTTTACACTTAATAATAATAATAATAGTATTTTTACATGCATTTAAAATAATTCTAGGTTCCTTTGAACTATTACAAATAGAATTTAAATTTAGCATTTATTTACGTAAATTATTTTATGATCTAATTATTTATAAAATATTATCGTATAAATTACGCGCAAAAGATTTCAACGCGCTCAGCGCTACGAGTCCCTACGCTTAGGTGCATGTATGCAATTGCTTAATAATAAAGCGTTTATGAACTGTATAAATAATCAATATGTAATCCTATAGTGTTTGAATTATTTATTATTTCAAATTGAATGATTATCCTACAGTTCATTTAGTTGTATGAGGCTTATATTTTATGAAAACTAAACTAAATCAAACAAGTTAAAAGTTGTAACTATTCATTGTAAAAAGTATAATTTAAGACACTTTAAGAAACGTAAATAGTAATAAGTCATAGATATATTTATATCTTGTGAGCATTAGTAATTGAAAATCCAACTCTAAGTTCCCATAATTCATATTCCCTATTTAAAAAAAACTATCATATTTATATATTAATATTATAATTTACATAGTATATACTATATTAAAAAATCTTAATCAAATTTTCTTGAAATACTGACACATTTTTTCAAGGTTCTCACCAGGATTTGTTTTGGGCATTGATATGTTTGCACAAGACGTGCTTTCCAGTGTAACGCAAACCGGACTTGCGCGGGCGCAACTACTGACGCTAACTTCTTGCGCAAGAGTTCGCTGAACCATTTCTATGACTTGCTATATTGTTTACACTCGGGTCACCCAGGGTGGAAGTCTTTTATTAATCATAAAACGTGGCAATAAATGTTGTACTTAAACGAATATACGGTGAAAATGTACTAATTATAATATACTAGCATTGCCCGCGGCATCGCCCGCGTTCAGATGACCAAAAACCAAATTCTTAGGTTTTACATATTAGTATGTTCTTACATTGCAGTTTTTGTATTTTTTCTCAGAAATGTGATATTTTTCCGCGGTAAAAAGTATTCTATATGTTTACCCGGATAACCAGCTATCACCATACCAAATTCATCAAAATCTCTCCAGCGGTTTTTCTGTGATGCGGTAACAGACAGACAGACAGACAGACAAAAATTCTAAAAACTATTCGGCCTTTATATCGATAATAATGTCTATTTCAATAAGATTTTCCAAAAAATATTTAATGTACAGATTCGGCTGTTACAATTTTATTATATGTATAGATGTAACCACTAAGCAGGTATATACATATATAATAAGGTAAATAGTAAAAAATATCATACGACTAATTAATTATTTTTTATATAAAATATTGTAATTTTTTAAAGTTAACGTTAATGATATACTAGTTACCGTATTTACTTTGCTTATTGTAGCTGTAGCAGGTTAAATAATTAAATCAAGACAACAATTTAAAATATACATAAATAGTTTAAAAGTAAATGTATTAGGTCTAACTGGACAACAATAGAGTGTAATACACATATACTCGTAGCAATAGAGTGCTATACCATAGCGCTTTTAAATGATACGCTTTTTGCCTCTGATGAAAACACACAATTCAATCGCACATAATTATATGTAATTTATGGCACAAGCAATGAGCCCAATTTTCCATCGGCAATTGAAAAAATCAAAAATCGAAATTTTAATACCACACAAACATTCTTTTCCTATTCAACTTTTTAAGGCATGTATTTTGTAATACTTATCTTCGTAATATAACGAACTATTGCCTGCATTTAATGTTTTTACATGCAGTCAGTGAATGAGTAAAATATTTTTTAGGTTCAAATTATTTCAAATGAAACAAAATATATGATTGATATCAAAATATTGTGTTTGTTATCATGCAAATTTCTTATGTAACCTACGAGAGAAAGTCCTTGATACAATTACTAATAACGTTATGAGAAAGTGGTATATGGTGAAGATACTTAGCTTATTTACTGTAAATCATGATGTCATGGCTCATGAATATACTTCATAGCTTTACTTATTTTTAGTAAGCCAAAGAAAAGAGATCGAGACAGGGCCTATTATCTATTTTTAAACTCTTTTTATTTTTTAGCTCAAAGAGGCTTAGAAATAAATCTAACGTAACATAATTGAGTGACTACAACCAAGTTAGCGTCAAATGGCGTGGTGCACTGAATACCTTAAAATTATAGACACGAAATTAAATACTTTTAAACAATACATCATTGAATATCCACACATTATAAAACGTATTAATTCCTCCCTACAAAAAGTATAAAAATACATCAGTCTTTTACTTTACATAATGTTTGTGTTCACGCAAGAACATGATACTGAGCGCAGTCTTTCTGGTGCTGCGGCAAGATGAGATCATCGGCATTGGTTATGTAATAACTGCTACAGGCCATACTACAACGTTATTAACATTTTTCAATCTCCACGTGAAATAGATCGATCACGGTTAGGGTTAACAAACTTGTACAGCAGTTATGTCATTTTTAGTTTATTGCTTCCTTCTAAAACGTTATGATCGTAAATAAATACATAGAGTTAGTTGTTATCACATTGTTTTTATTATTGGATTAATAATAATAATTTGTTCTCAGCATACAAGTCAAAACAGTATTGTTATAAAGAAATAGAAATTTATTATACAGTATCTGATAGGATAATTCGACAGTCAAATCGAATTAGCGACTTCCGATAGAGTAGGGCATTCCCCATAAAATATACTATACCTTTAAATTGTTAATATTTTAAAAATATTAACCATCAATTTTAATTTCAAACAAGAATTGGCCTGTGGCTTTGCCTACGTATATGTAAGTTTAGCGAATATATCCTCCGAACACAATTTTAGTGCCGATCAGTTGAACGGTGTATAAGATGATGTAGTATAGCGTCACCTAGTGCTATGTTACAGCAAAATGC